ACTTATGAGACACAGCCAAGGAAGTTCGGAGAGAGAAATTCATAGCGATACAGGCCCACCTAAAAAAGTTAGAAACATTCCAAACAAACAACCTAACCCTACGTCTACAAGAACTCAAGGAACAACAACAAAGACAGCCCAGAGCAAGCAGAAGGAAGGAAATAACCAAGATCAGAGCAGAATTAAATGACATAGAGACTAAAAGCACAATTCTAAGGATCAATGAATCCAAGAGTTGGTTCTTTGAAAAGATAAACAAAATCGACAAACCTTTAAGCAGGCTCATCAAGAAAAAAAGGGAGAAGACCCAAATAAACACAATCAGAAATGAAAGAGGAGAGATTACAACAGAAACCACAGAAATACAAAGGATTGTAAGAAATTACTACAAAGAACTATATGCCAAGTAATTTGAAAATCTAGGTGAAATGGAAAAATTTCTAGAAAAATATAATCTTCCAAAACTCAGTGAAAAAGAAGCAGAAAGCCTGAACAGACCAATAACAACAAAAGAAATTGAAGCAGTAATCAAAAAACTCCCAACACACAAAAGCCCTGGACCAGATGGTTTCACAGGAGAATTCTACAAAGCATTTAAAGAAGAGCTAACCCCTATCCTTCACAGACTATTCCAAAAAATCCGAAAAGATGGGAGACTCCCAAACTCTTTTTATGAGGCCAACATCATCCTAATACCAAAACCAGGTAAGGACACAACAAAGAAAGAAAACTTCAGGCCAGTATCACTGATGAACATTGACGCTAAAATCCTCAACAAAATACTGGCAAACCACATCCAACAATACATTAAAAAGATCAAACACCATGACCAAGTGGGATTCATTCCAGGGATGCAAGGATGCTACAATATTCGGGAATCAGTAAAGGTAATACATCACATAAACAAAAGCAAGACAAAAATCACATGATCATATCAATAGATGCAGAAAAAGCATTACATAAGGTACAGCACCCATTTATGATAACAGTACAGTGGGAATACAGGGAGCATTCCTCAACATAATAAAGGCCATATATAAGAGACCTACAGCCAACATCATACTCAATGGGCAAAAATTAAAATCTTTTCCACTAAGACCAGGAACAAGGCAAGGCTGTCCACTTTCACCACTTCTATTCAATATAGTACTGGAAGTTTTAGCCACAGTGATCAGACAAGAAAAAGAAATAAAAGGCATCCAAATCAGAAAGGAGGAAGCAAAACCGTCACTATTTGAAGATGACATGATAGTGTACATAGAAAAACCTATAGACTCCACCAAAAAACTGCTTGACCTAATAAATGAATTTGGCAAAACAGCGGGATACAAAGTCAATATCCAGAAATCAAAGGCATTTCTGTACACCAACAATGAAACAGCAGAAGCAGAGATCAAGGACAAAATCTCATTTGAAATAGCAAAAAGAAAAATAAAATACCTAGGAATAAAACTAACCAAAGAGGTAAAAGTTTTCTGTATTCAGAAAACTGCATAACACTCAGGAAAGAAATCAAGGAAGACACAAACAAATGGAAACATATACCGTGTTCATGGATTGGAAGAATTAATATCATCAAAATGTCCATACTACCCAAAGCAATTTACACATTCAATGCAATTCCTATTAAAGTACCAATGGCATATTTCACAGACATAGAACACACACTTCAAAAATTTATATGGAATCATAAATGACCCCGAATAGCTGCTGCAATTTTGAGAAAGAAGAGTAAAGTAGGAGGAATCACAATACCTGACACTAAACTATACTACAAGGTCACTGTAATCAAAGCAGCCTGGTATTCACATAAAAACAGGCACATAGGCCAATGGAACAGAACACAGAGCCCGGAAATAAACCCAAGTCTCTATGGTCAATTAATATTTGACAAAGGAGGCAGCAACATAAAATGGAGTAAAAATAGCCTCTTCAACAAATGGTGTTGGGAGAACTGGACAGCCATGTGCAAAAAAATGAAACTTGAGCACCAACTTACACCATATACAAAAATAAATTCAAGGTGGATAAAAAACTTAAATATAAACTGTGACATTATTAAGTCCTAGAGAAGAATGTAGGTAGGGAAATCTCAGATATTTCACACAGAAACTTTTTTTACTTACTTGTCCCCTAGAGCAAGGGACATAAAGGAAAGAATAAACAAATGGGATCTCATCAAAATTAAAACCTTCTGCACAGCTAAAGAAAACAGTATCAAAATAAAAAGAGAACCAACTGTATGGGAAAACATATTTGCCAATGGTACCTCAGACAAGGGTTTAATCTCCAAAATATATAAAGGCCTTACATGACTGAACTCGAAGAAGACAAGAAATCCAATTAAAAAATGGGCAAAAGACTTGAACAGACACTTCTCCAAGGAGGACACACAGAAAATCCAAAGACACATGAAACGATGTTCAATATCGCTAGCTATCAGAGAGATGCAAATTAAAACCACAATGAGATACCACTTCACACCAGTCAGAATGGCCATCATAAACAAAGCAATAAACAACAAGTGTTGGAGAGGTTGTGGAGAAAAGGGGTCCCTAGTGCACTGTTGGTGGGACTGCAGACTGGTACAACCACTATGGAAAGCAGTATGAAACTTCCTCAGAAAACTAAAAATGGATCTGCCATTTGACCCAGCAATTCCACTGCTGAGACTATATCCTAAGAATACTAAAACACCAGTCCAAAAGAACCTATGCATCCCAATGTTCATAGCAGCACAATTCACAATAGCTAGATACTCGAGCAGCCAAGATACCCATCAGTAAATGAATGGATCAAAAAACTATGGCACATTTACACAATGGAATCCTATGCAGCAGAAAGAAAGAAGGAGCTCTTACCCTTTGCAACAGCTTGGATGGAGCTGGAAAACATGCTAAGTGAAACAAGCCAGACACTGAAAGACAAATACCATATGATCTCACGTTTAACAGGAACCTAAACAACAAAAAAAGAAACAAGCAAAATATAACGAAAGACACTGAAATAGAGGACAGGCTGACAGTGACCACAGGGGATACAAGAAGGAATTTCAGGGGACATTGGGAAGGGTTCATGGGAACAAATTTAAAGGACACATGGACAAAAAGTACGGAGAAGGTGGTAATGGGAGGGAAGTGAGGAGGGTTGGGAGTGGGGCTGGATTGGGAGTAAAAGGGAGAAAACTGTACTTGAACAATGATTAAAATAAAATTTTTAACAAACAAGACCCATATATATACTGTCTATAAGAGACCCACCTCAGAAAAAAAGATTCACACAGGCTGAAAATGAAGAGACGGAAAAAAATATTCCATGCAAATGGAATGAAAAAAAGCTGGAGTAACCATACAGTAACCCGAGTGGGGGGAGGAGGTTAATGGGGAAAAGAAAGGGAAGAGTCATCAATGTGTACAAAGGACCCATGGAGAAAGACAAAGGTCGTAGGATTGAGGGTGGGAGGGAAGTGGTGGTAAGAAAATGGAGACAATTGTTCTTGAACAACAATAAAAACAAGTTCAGGATCCAGAGTCGCCCCAGATGATCACTCAGCCTCAACCAGAAAGGTCTGTGCAGGAGACAGAGACTTTGACCCTGGCCTGCACATATGAAAATAGTGACAGTGATTATTATTTGCTCTCTTACAAGCAGCCTCCCTGTGGGGAGGTGATTCTCATTATCCACCAAGAAACGTATAAGAAACAAAATGCAATGAATAATCGCGTCTCTGTGAACTTCCAGAGAGTAAGCAAACACTTCAGGATCAGGATCTCAGACTCCCAGCTGGAGGATGCAGTAATGTATTTCTGTGCTCTCATGAGGGCACAACAAGATGAGTGACAGGGAGAGGCATACAGAAACCTCACTCTATAGCACCAGTGTTAGGGGGTAGGGGAGAAGTGGCTGGGGTAACAGGAACATAGAAAATCATTGTCTTCTTTTGGGAATATAAGTTCCTTCTATCTGAATATAAAAAAAATGAAAAAGAGAAAGAGAAGACAAGATTTTTAGAGAGTACAAGGTAGTTCCTTTTAAAAATGTGTTGTCATAGTACTGAAGTAGCCCATCAATCTGGTCATCATTCAGTTAGTCAAAGATAAACAAGAGCTACAGATCTGACAGGTTTTAGTAGAATTACTTCTGTGTGTGTATATATAAAGCACACAGCCCATTTCAAATGTAATTAACATAGTCACAAAAAGATTTGAAATATTAACAAGTATGAATAACACACCTTAAGGTGACCCCTAAACCCCTCTCCCTGATTTTTGGGATGTGGGAAAAACCAATGATTTCTTTCTAATCAACAGAATCTAGCCAAGGTTAGTTAACTGCAGGCCCTTGATTAGGTTATGTGAAATTTCATCTTAATAGAACCAGACACATACTCTCCCTGGCTGCTTTTGAAGATATAAGCTTCCACATTACATAAGGTCTGACAGAGCACCATGCAGCAAGGATCTGTGGGATCTCTAGAAGCCTCCCACTGAGAGCCAGGAAGAAAGTATGGACCTCATACCTACACCCACATAGAACTGAATTCTTCCAAAAACACAGGTAAGCTTGGAAGTGAACCTCATTCTCCAGAAAGGAATGCAGCCAACACACATCTGAGTGAGACCTATAGACATGAGCAGAGGACCTGGCCAAACTCTGCTTTGAGATGTAATAAACATGTTGTTTTAAACATAATTTGTTCCACAGCAACAGAAAATGAGCACACTAGTGCATGAAGGAGACAGGAAGACAAAAAGCATGTTCTGTAGAAGACCAAAGGTGAATTGTAGATTAACATATGCATTGCTCTTTTACTTACCAGCTTATCTACATGATCCACTTCAAGGCAGTAATGTGAGTTTCCTTTTTATTTACTCTGCTATTCTAATTCAGTGGCTAAATTATAATTACTGTACATTCAGCTACAAACAACTAACTTTAGAAAATTCAAAAGCTATCCAAAAGAACTTAACTACAAAAAGTAATAAATTAAAAATACTTACAATTTCTTTAAGATAGCTAGGAATTCTTCTAACTTTTCTTCAGTTTTTTTGGATCCATAGAGAGTACGACCACCACGTGCTTTTTTAACATAGACAGCTATGTTGTGAGAGTCATCATCAGATTGTTGGGGCTGAGTTTCTTCTGTCTCTTCAGAGGGTTTTCTGAACAAGGAAACAATATTTTACCATATTGCATATTACACACAAATTACTGACATGAATTTTTACTTTATTGTCAAGAATAAAAATTCACTGTTCTGAGATAATTTGGCATTTTAATAATATATTCTTTTCCAATGCTTTAGTTCTCTTCTTTCATCATCAGTAGAGCAGTTAAATATGTCACTCTGCTAAATCTAAAAATTAGCATTACATAAAATATTGTTTACATACAGAATTTTAGTATAGGTATTATAATTGTCCTAAGTGATTAAAAATAATAAATTAAGTCTACATCATTTAGGGAAATACTTTAACTCAATGGTTAACATCCTTATCTTCACACCCAAACACTTGTTTCTCAGTGATTTTTTAGCTATAAGTGTTTTTATAAAATTTTTGTTTCCAACTGACAAACTATGAACATTTTGAAAGCAACCATCATACTTTATTCTTGTGCTACCATATAAGTTGCACACATAAGTCCTCAAGAGATGTAAGAATATATGACTATTTCCCATTCATTTTTCCAGTTACAACCACTTATATTAAGAGGTCACTGAAAACCTAGACAATGAATCTAACAAATAATGTCCATCCTTAGGGAAAAATAGTGCAGGAGATGATAAAAAACCCAAATTATCATAGATTCATCACCTTTACTTATACATGAGAAGATTTAAAAATAAAGTTAAATATAAACATTATACAGAATAAAACAATGGTGTCAAATAAGAAAGAACTGAGGTTTCAACATAAAACAAAGTTTATTGAGGGTGTCTAGGGATTCCAGTCTGGGAGTCACAGATTCAAGAGGAAACCTGAAATGTGCTCCAGAGAAGACAAAAAGCCAGAGCATATACAGTCAAAAACCACAAATTGTTTTCAAACATTTCTTATTGACTATTTAACATGACAATCTGACTAGTCTAAAATGGTTTAGCCAGGACCAGTAGACAATATTCTGGGGCAGACCTTAGCTGAAAATATGGAAGTAAAAGCCAAGTGTGAACATGCACGAAGCACATACACAAAAAGCTCAAAAGTAGAAATCTGACTGCGCTAATGGCCTCCTCACTCTATGTTGGGCCATTTGACAGTAGTGACTCCATTCCAGATTTTTTAAATTCACAATAACATCACACATTAATTTCTAACACAAATTTGAGTCCTTTTATGTGGGCTACTCTGCTAACCATTATACACACATATCTACTTAACATTAGTCATGTGACATAAACAATGTTGTCCCCCATTTATACAATAAGGAAAATGCAGCTTGAGTTTATATAATTTTGGGGAGATGCAAGATGGTGGAGGAGTAAATGGTAGCCACACTAACCTCGTCCCAGGGAAAATCTAGAATTACAAATAAATTGTGGAGAAATCACCCCAAACAAACAAACAAACAATAGTGAAAGAGAAATCTAATAACCTTGGACAGACAGAAGAATTATCTCCAGCACTAACTGTTTGGTAAGGAGTGTGGTGGAGACTTGAAAAGGCTGGCTAGGTGCCCACCGTCAGCAGTACTGGAGGGATAATTAAGCAACTGGTTGGATCCCCCTGAGCAGTGCGGGAGTTGGAACTCTCAGCCTAAAGCACCAGAGCCCAAAAAGTACACAGATGACAGCTGGTGGCAAGAAGCAGCAGGGTTATTCTCTGCCAGAGATGGACAGCTAGAGATGCAAAAGCCTTTTAAAAGGCCAAAGCGCAAATTTTCATTTGCAGACACATACCTGGGGCTTTGGCAAAGGCAGGGGCAGAATGGTGAAGAGACACCTGAGGAGAGATTGAGGATGGAAGCTTTGGGCAGAGAGTTGAGAGATACCCACTGGAATCACAGTGCTGAATCATCACCCATACTGCAATAGTCATCATGCTCCAGGTGACCACTCCCCTGAGCATCAACAGCCTGAGAGGAAACAACAGCCCTGCCTGCAGGAGAGACTCTGTTCCAGCTCTGCGGTGCTTAAGCCTGACTGCTGAGTACAGAATGACTAGAATAACAACAGAAGGAAACAGCCACAGGCAGTAGATACTTAGCAAATGGGGCACAGAGTGGACTAGAGACACTTGAGGAGAGACTGGAGACAAAGGCTTTGGAGAGAGAACTGAGAGAGTAGACACTGGGATTCTGGTGCTGAGTCATTCCCCCTTACAGCAGCAGTCATTCAGCTCAAGGAGACCATTCCCCTCCAAGCAGCAGCAGCCTCGGGATAAACAATACCCTCAACCCCAGGAGGGATTCTGCCCTGACCTATGGGGCCTAAGACTCACTGCTGAGTGGAGAGTGACTAGATTAAAAACTGAAAGAGATAGCGTCATACACTAGATGCCTGGTAATCTCAGAGTCAACTGCCTAAGGTCAGACAGGGTTAACATCTGACATCACCAGACATGGATCCAGAAAGGAAAAATAGTGGTTAATTCTAGAGACTACTGAGATGAAATCCACTGTGGTCTTCTCCATGATTAATGATATTTTCTTTCCTGCATAGATTTTTAACATTCATTCCTTGGACATCAAGTTTGTTAATATTAAGTTATTAGATTTTATAATATAGTTTATTTCTCTTTCTTATAATAATCTTAATCTCTTTATGCCCTTAATGATAATGGTTCATTTCCTGCTGATAATGGGATTACTGAAGGGATATTTTTCTCAATGTGGGTTTGTTCCCTGGACTTTGTGGTTTTGTTCTGTCATCACCTGCACAACAGCATACAAAATATGGTGGGTGGAGTGACCCTCAGTCAACCAGTGGGAGGGAAGGATCCACTGAAGAACAACATTCAAAACCCAACTACATCCATCGAGCCCATATAAAGGGCATAAAGAGCACCCAAAGAGCATCAAGTACAGGGGTTCAGGAAGACTGCAAAACTGAATCTCACAGGTCTCCTCTCATAGAAGTTCACGCCACAAACTCAGGGAGTCAAAACAGATCAATTTAACAAGCAGAGGCAAACAAGAAGAGTCTCACAAAAAAATGGGAAGACAAAGAAACAACACCCAAATAAAAGGAAAGGGGGAATCTTCAGAAAGAATGCTAAATGAAATAGAGGCAAGTCAACTATCATATATTGAGTTCAAAGCAATAGTTATAAGGAACCTCAATGAGGTCACTGAGAATTACCAAAACCTACACAGAAACTAGAAGGAACTCACAACAAATTACATCAACATGAAAAAGGACATTGAAACAATCAACAAAAGCCAAGAGGAAATGAAGAATACAATTTCAGTAGGGAAGAATATAGTAGAAGGAATCAAAAGCCAGCTAGATGAAGAATAGGATCAAATCAGCAAGCTGGAGGACAATTAGAAAAAGCTCCCAGAAAGAGCAAGAAAAGGAAATAACACTTAAAAAGAACAAAGAGGGGTTACGGGAAATGCAGAACAACATGAAATGTAATAATATCAATATAATAGGGATATCCAAAGGAGAAGAGGATAGAGAGATAGAAAACATCTTTGAAAAAGCAGTGATGGAAAATTCCTGTATTTTGATTAGAGAAAAAGTCAGGCGAATCCGGGAAGAAAAAACGATCCCAATCAAGATGAACCCAAAGAGGCCCACTCTGAGACACATCATAATGAAAATGGCAAATTAAAAGACAAAGAGAATCTTTAAGGCAGAGAAGGAGAAACAGGAAGTGACACAAAAGGAATTCCCCTTAAGGCTAGCACTGACTTCTCAATGGAAACACTACAAAGACAGAAGGGAATGGCAAGAAATATTCCAAGTAATGAAAAACAAAGACCTGCAACCAAGATTACTCTATCCATCAAGGCTCTCAATTAAAATGGAAGGCAAAATAAGTAGTTTCCCAGATAAAAGAAGGCTGAAAGAACACACCTCCACTAAACCAGCACAGGAAAATATACTAAAGGGACTACTTAAAAAAAGGAGTGGAAAAAGAGTGAGATATGATATATATATGGTATACATATATATATGATATATATGCATCACCCCATTCATATATATATATACACACACCCCATTCATTCCAAAGGTGCAAAACACCTATTCTTTTGAAATGCACATGGAACATTTTCAAAGATATACCACATGATAGGACACAAAACAACCCTCAACAAGTTCAAAAAAATTGAAATTATATCAAACATCTTCTCAGACCACAAGGGCCTGAAACTAGAAGACAACCTCAAGGATAAAACTCAAAAACATTCAAATTCATGGAGACTGAATAGCATGCTATTAAACAATGAATGGGTTAATATTAGATGAAGAAAGAAATCAAAACATTTCTGGAAACAAATGAACTCACAACAATCCCAAACTTATGGGACACGTCAAAGGCAGTCCTGAGAGGGAACTTCATAGTGAAACAGGCCTACCTAAAAGAGATAGAAACATTTCAAGTAAACAGTGTAACTCTCCAACTACAAGAACTGAGGAATAAAAACAGGTGCAGCCCAAAGGAAGTAGAAGGAAGGAAATAATCAAGAACAGAGCAGAATTAAAGGACATGGAGTTTAACAAATAATTATAAGGATCAATAAATCCAGGGCTTGTGCTTTGAAAAGATAAACAAAATGGACAAAACTTTAAGTGAGTTCATGAAGAAAAAAAAAGAGAGGACCTAGAAACACAAAATCAGAAATGAAAGAGGAGAGATTGCAACTGATACCAAAGAAATACAAAACAAACAAGCAAGCAAAATATAACCAGAGACACTGAAATTAAGAACAAACTGAAAAAGCTACAGGAGAGGTGGGAGAAGTGATTGGGGAAAGGGAGAAGGGTTGTCAAGGAACACGTACAAAAGACATACGGACAATACTAAAGGGTGGTAGGATAGATGGTGGGAGGTGGGGATAACTGGGGTGGGAGGAGTCATGGGGGAAAATTGAAACAACTGTACTTGAACAACAATTAAAGGAAATAAAATAAAGATCATCTTCAGATAAAAAAGAAAAGAAATACAAAGAATTGTAAGAAGGTACTACAATGAACTTTATGCTAGGGAAT